TAGAATTTCTGTCATAGAATTTCTGTCACAGAAGCCATGCGTCCTATCGTCCAGAGCGTCTTATAGACCGCAAAATACAGTAAATAAAAACAATGAGTTAGTCCAGAAATGTCAGAATAAGTCCAGAATCATAAACAAATGTCCTTGGGTGCATTCAGTGATAGAAAGCATCACATATTGGTATCACGTATATAAGATAATTCCAAAAATAAAAAGAGATCAGGATAACCTAGCTATTTGTTTATAGCATTTGGATGAATATCAAACTCTGTAAAAAGAAATGTTATGCAAAAATAGAAACAGAAGAGTGCGAGGAAAAGGAAGAGCAAGCAGCAGAAAGACACAGACCATAAGCTCAAGAAGATCGAGGACAAGAAGACACCTGAATTGCACCCAGCAAGGAAGATCCAGCCCCACGTGGTATCTGAAGGGGGGGTCACACCTGAGATGGCCACCTTACGCAGTCTGTTCCAGAGAGTCTATGGGAATGTTTGACCATTCTCCCAGAAGCGTATATGTGAGGTGAGATGTTGGACTGGCTTGCAGTCTCCACTCCAATTCATCCCAAAGGTGTTGGCCCACCCTTTGCAGCTCTAACAGCTTCAACTCTTCTGGGAAGGCTGCCCACAAGGCTTAGGAGTGTGTCTATGGGAATGTTTGACCATTCTCCCAGAAGCGTATATGTGAGGTGAGATGTTGGACTGGCTTGCAGTCTCCACTCCAATTCATCCCAAAGGTGTTCTATCGAGTTGAGGTCAGGACTCTGTGCATGCCAGTCAAGTTCCTCCACCCCAAACTCACTCATCCATGTTTTTATGGGCCTTGCTTTGTGCACTGGTGCGCAGTCATGTTGGAACAGGAAGAGGCGATCCCCAAACTGCTACCACAAAGTTGGAAGCATTAAATTGTCCAAAATGTTTTGGTATGCTGATGCCTTAAGAGTTCCCTTCACTGGAACTAAGGGGCCAAGTCCAACCCCTGAAAAACAACCCCACACCATAATCCCCCCTCCACCAAACTTTACACTTGGCACAAAGCAGTCAGGCAAGTACCGTTCTTCTGGCAACCGCCAAACCCACACACGTCTATCGGATTGCCAGACATAGAAGTGTGATTTGTCACGTCAGAGAACACGTCTCCACGTCTCTAGTGTCCAGTGGCGGCGTGTTTTACACCACTACATCGGCCGCTTTGCATTGCACTTGGTGATGTAAGGCTTGGATGCGGCTGCTCGGCCATGGAAACCCATTCCATGAAGCTCTCTACGCACTGTTGTTGTGCCAATCTGAAAGCCCCACAAAGTTTGGAGGTCTGTAGCTATTGACTCTTGGCAGTTGGCGACTTCTGGGCACTGTGCATAATGTCTAAGTGCATGTCTATTACCCTCCCAATTTTAGTATCATCAGCAAACACAGAAACATGGCTATTAACACCTTCCCCAATATCATTAATGAACAGGTTAAACAGTATGGGGCCTAGCACAGAACCCCGAGGCACGCCACTCTCAACCTTAGATCAATCTGAAAGAGAGCCATTTATCAATACTCTCTGGACACGTTCATGTAGCCAGTTCTCTATCCATGTACACACCATTTCATCTTTGCCATAGATCTCAGCTGTGTATTAAGCGTTTATGTGGTACCGTGTAAAAAGCTTTGGCAAAATACAGGTATACTACATTCACCAGCCTCCCTCCATCCAGATATCTACTCACCTCTTCATAGAATGTTAGTAGGTTGGTCTGACAAGAACGGTCCTTCCTAAATCCGTGCTGATTATCATTTATTATACCATTATCACAAATTAAATCCACTAAATAGTCCTTTATCATTCCCTCTAACAGTTTCCATACTATTGATGTTATACTGACTGGTCTGTAGTTCCCAGGTTGGCATCTTGAACCTTTTTTGAAAATTGGTACTACTGTAGCTTTCCCTCGGTCACTTGGTACCTTTCCAGTCATTATGGAGTCCTTGAAAATGAGGAATAATGGTCTCGCTTTAACCTGGCTGAGTTCTTTAAGTACATTGGGGTGCAGGTTATCTGGTCCTAGTGCTTTATTTGTATTTAGTTTTTCCAGTCTTTGTTGAACCCCGGCTACTGTCAACCACTGCGGTATTTTACGCACTAAGCTACTCGCATTCTTATCTCCATTGAACCCATCTTTTTCCTCAGTGTATACTGAGGAGAAAAATGAATTTAACACATTAGCCTACTACCTGTCGTTTGTAATTAATCTCCCATTTTCATCTTTTATTGGGCCTACCTGCTCTTTTCTTACTATTTTACTGTTTATATATTGGTAGAATGTTGTGGGGTTGTTCCTACAGACTATGGCAATGTGCTTCTCGTAATCTATTTTAGCTGCCCGGATTTTGTGTTGTCATCTCTTTTTTTTGCATTGCTTGTAGCTCTGGAATGCCAATGCAGTCCCCTCCATCTTATATTTTTTAAATGCCAGGTTCTTCTCTTGGATGCATTGTTTTACCGTTTTATGTAACCATGCAGGTTTAGTTCTTGAGCTTTTATTTTTGTTACCCAATGGTATGCACTTGGTAGTAGCGTTATGTAATGTATTCTTAAAACAATCCCACTTCTGGTCAGTGTTCAGTGTTAGAAATAAGTTGTCCCATTTAGTGTTTTTGATGAACCTGCAGCAGCTCCTACAAGTTACTGTCACTCAATGGGAGAGGAGGATCCTGACAATATTGTCAGGATAGCTTCTCAGCACAGAGCTTAGCCCGACTCACTGTAATTAAAGCACTGAATCGAAAGCTTAAACTGTATTTTTGATTACAGGAGTATATTGCCAAATGTATTTCTCTATCATAAAGGAAAATAAAAATGCAAAAAAGGTATCCCCCATAGTTCTCCTTTAACTTATACTAATGTACCATGAGCTGTAAATAGTGCATTTGAGAAGGAATTCTTTGAGACCTAAAACATATTCTGAGGGTTCCTTCATGGTAAACATGTCATTCTGTCAGCACTTGATTGAAGTTCTTGGATGTAAAAAATCTTGATCTCCACAGAAAAAAAATCTTTATAAAGGTCTTGAACCTGCAGAGCTGGGTGAGAAGTCCCCTTCATCCTTGGAAGCCAGGATAAACAGAGTAAAGGCCGTGACACACGGCACGCGAAGCCGTGCAGAGCGAAGCAAAGCTATCCGGCACGGAGTTTTGCGTGCAGTGTGTGAGCTGACTGCAGTCAGATGATTGACAGCCCCTTCAGCCAATCGGCTCGTCCGTAACAACCTGCCAGCTGTCGCATCGCGACGCGCTGGTTTATACGCGCGAGCCGATTGGCTGAAGTTGAAATTGTTCATCTCGGCACGCTCAGCTCTGCGAGCTCTCGCAAGCTGAGGTGCCGAGCAGAAGATGACATGACACACTGCTCGCAAAGGCAGCGCGCCCCCGCTCCGCGCTGCTTTGCGTGCAGTGTGTCACGGCCTTTATGCTAGCATTGTTGGGGGTTTGGCCAATGGGTGGCACTATAGCTCTGTGTCCTTCAATAAACAATTGAGCAAAAACGTTTACTGGTATTAAGATTGCGGTACTTTGTCCTTGTTTGAATTTTGGTGTTGTCCCTCTTGTTAGAGTGGTATACATGGTGAACTTCTATATATCTATTCAACCCAATAAGTCAGAATTACCTAATGATAATAGCCTATAACTTGCTACCATTTCAACTTTATTTTGTATGCTACTTCCAATGTGCACCTAAAGTTTGTTTCCTTATAGTTATGTGACCCAGACACCCCTGCCAAACTGTTCTGAACCTCAACATGGCCCAGGACACACACTCAGCCTTCTATCTGAACAATACAAAATAGAAACCTGGCCAACGATGCTGCCCCTTCCCTTTCTAGTCTGAGACCTGCTTTGCAGGGGATTACAGGAAGCTGATAAAGACAAATTCAGGTACTTACAAAAGTTGCATTTAGAATACATGACATTCTTCTTTTTATTGATAAACTGATTTTTTTTAAACATCTGCCTGAAGTTCAGCTTCATCATCTTGCAGTTTGGTGTGTGATGGACAATAAAAACGTCCATCTCCACAAAAGCAAAATCTTACCTTTGATTAGCAATGAACAGCAGTGCAAAACAATACTCAAGACCATGGCAGAAGCAAAGCAGACAAATAAACCTATAGTGCCAGTATATCTAAATTGTTATTTTTTTTTAAAATCTGCTCTCCACTCCTCCTGAATTATCTAATGATAAAATGGCAGCAAATAAAATGTAAATGCATTGGAGACTGCAAATAAGATCAAGAATTAAGCAAGTGCTTTATTATCATGGGGTGGGGAGGGGCAGGAGGGACAAAGTAGAAAGACTTGTCACTGACACAAAACATTTTTTCAGGAATTTCCTATTCAACATCTACAAAGAAAGAAATGTTAGGAGTCCAAAATTGGTTTTAAAAATTAAAACCAAGACGAATGTGCCCTCCTCATGCCTATAACACAATATATACAAATAGAGCTTTGTAGGACACATCCATCTTTCTTCTTGTCAACGAAAAACACTAATACAGGGTCAGTCCTGCAGCAAATTTCATATATTAAAATCCAGCAAAAGGAGCTTATTTAAGAGAGAGGTACATAGGACAGCAGAAAAATAAATTACACACACATACTCTTAAATAAATTAAGCATGAAAAAACTCTAAATTAAATAATAACATTATGGGACTCTGCTGGATGCTTATTTTGTTTTCCAAGAAATTAATATATCCTTTTATGGCAGTAATTCTTTAAAATAATGTCAGATTCTCCCCCCCCCCCCCTTTTCCCCAAAAAAAAGGGAGGGGGGGGGGGGGGGGGAAAGAAGAAAAAAAAACACTGGCTGCACAGACCAAATTTTAAATGTATAAGGGGTAGTGCATTTTTATCCTCAGAGAGTGTACGTCTGCTCCTTTATTTGTCATATGGTTAATTTGCAACTTATAACCATTTATATCAATAATGATTTGTCTCCCAGTGGATAGAAGCTTGTTATATTCCAGTGTTGGAAAGGTATGGTTTCAGGACACCAAAATATGGGATATCACATCACAGAAGGACAGTGACCTCCCAAAAAAGTATATTTATTCTGTTTCACAGCAGTGCTGCCACAATCCATCCGATTGGCAGACTGCAGGCAAAATAGTCAGTAGTATAATCTGTTTGTGAAATTTGACCTCCAGGGAGGTCATTGGTTCTTTAGCTGTATATACCCAGTGGAACAGTACTGACTGCAGCAGTTTACAGTCAGTTTTGCAGGAGTACTCCAGTCCATCCAATATAAAGGAACTTTCAAGTGTTTCCAATACACACATAGAAAAGCTTCAAAAAAATGACAGCATGAGATGACTACTGGTTCAGTAGCTGGAACATGGATGGGTCCAATATCCATGTTTCGTTTCTTTCCGGAAAATGAAAAGTAATACTTATTAGTAAGACACCATGGATGCTGGCATATGGGATCAAGTAGCTCCTTGTACCCCTGTGGGATTTCTTGGTAATCAAGAAAAGGGATGATACTAGTTGTTACAACACATGTTGCACTTTCTCCCTCTTCGGTTTTAAGGAGTAAGGAGGGTTTGGAATGAGGTCCACTGAAGCTTTGCCCTTCGTTCATTTCTTCCATTCACGGGGTTGTTAGGTGTTCTAATGCCAGCAGCTCCTAACAAAAGACAAATCTATTATAGTAAATGTACACTTTAATCAGCCTATTTATACACTGAATCAGTCACCTAACACTGAACATCTTCCTCTGGAAATGTGTTGGCCACTAAACCTAAATTTAGCTGTTCTAAAGCAAAGTGGGACATATTTTGTCATTGCATATAGCAAGTCAGGTTGAAAAGGGCCCTGTTCCACATGTTTTTATTATACTAGTCATCTGATCCCATGTACTGTGAAAAAACTAATTCTACTTCCTATGAGCAAAAGAGAACAAAATGACACTTGATTAAATACATTTTTAAGATTCGATTGTTTGTGTTTTAGCCCACACACTATACAACTTTCTTATGGATACTTAAATTAGCTGCTTTGCAAGGTAATGCAAACCCTTATCTGCATCACCCCAATAGAGTTTCAGAGAGGGAGGGCAAGTACTGCACATATCAGCTACATAGCAAGACATTAGTCAAATAGGGTTACTGCTAGGGTTGCACAGATACCAAGTACAGTACTCGGTACAAGTACATGTACCGATACTTTTGAGCTCCAAGACTACACTAGAGAAAAATTCAAAAATTAGGAGGCAGCAATCATGTGTAAGGCGCACACTGAGCTCCCGGGATTTGTACATCTCTGTTTTAATGTACGATTTTGTTTTTATAAATATAAATAAAGGGATCCACAGATACCAGTTTGGCGAGTACTGGTACTTGACGAGTACTTACAAGTACGAGTACTGATACATTTTTGTTTATTGTCATGTGACAGTTTTTCTAAAATAATACAGACTAATGATTTTAGGACAGTGGTGGAGTGCCAGAGCCAGGTCCCAGCTGCAACCCCGGTAGTTCTCATGAAAATGCCAAGTATCTGCACTGGTACTCAAAAAGTATCTGTGCATCCCTAGTTACTGCCCTTAGAGGTATTGTACCAATTAATAAATCTGCTTAAATCCTAAAGTACAAAAGCAAGAGGTCAAGCCATGGATTACACATATAGCTATGTAAATGTGTCCAATTTGCTGCAACTGGAAAAATCTTTCCTAATTCAAAAAGACACATTAGATCTTGCCTGGGTCAAAAACTTTAAGAAGAACGTCCGGTTTCCGGCGCCTAATGGGGTAGAGATGCATGGCGCTGCTCTGTCCCGATCTAAACGTCACTCGTTTCTGCCGCCTCTCACCTGCTCCTTCTGACTGGGACGATCACGCCGACCTCCCCCCCTGCTATGGTCAGATTTGTCTTCAGCTCACAACCGCCGCGGCGCTCGCTTCTTCCTGCTGCGGACGGCAACCGCCCCGCCCCCAATATGGCGGAATTGGAAGACATGCAGGTCGTCACACTAACTGAGCTGGATGGTGAGTCATTCCCTGCCCTCTCTCACGCTTCAATTGATTATCAGGTGCTGGTCTCATCAGTCGCTTCCTACCTAAAGTCAGACATCATCTACATCTCAGATGCACTTAAACAACACTTGGGCCCCATTAATGCAGACCTTGAAACACAATCTAAGCGCATACAGACAGCTGAGTATAGGCTGAGTGATGTGGAGGATCGTATACATTCCATGCAGCATACTAACGATCAAACTTCCAGGGCTGTACAACACCTCATGGAAAAGGTAGATTATCTGGAGAACAGGTCACGGAGGAACAACCTCCGAATAGTGGGGCTCCCAGAATCTGTTACCCCACGGGAACTTAACCATTTTTGTACCACTGTCCTTCCTCAGGCCCTGGGCCTCTCTACCTCATGTAAGTTGGAACGCGCACACAGGATAGTCCCCCCTAAAGACCAACAGAGGCCTAGACCAGTGATTGTGCGTTATTTGGATTTCTCTGACAGACGCCAGATACTAGAAGGTTATTGCTCTCAGCATCACTTAGTGGCCGGAGGCTTTTCACTACTGCTGTTTGTGGACTACTCAGCGGTGCTTGCTAAACAAAGAAAGATGTTCTCTGACATCTGTTGTTTGACAAACGGATAAAATTCACTCTGGCCTATCCTGCCACCCCTAGGATTACTACGCAAGATGGACATACTGAGTCGTTCACCACTGCCGATGCCGCCAAGCGACATGTAATGTAATTATAAGATACTAGCTACACATCCCCTTCTAAAAGTCCCCCGAGGAAGAAAAATGCCTGATATATGAATACCCGATCTCGGGGTCATATCAATCTCCAGTATGGGGACCCTCCATATTTGCAGCGTGAGAAGCGGGAATCCTCTTCACCTGAGTTGCAGCTCTTTTGCCGTTTTCTATACGCTTATACCTCTATGTTCCGGGACGGAGCATGCGATTTGAAATGCTACTGCTCACTTTGTTGATAGATGACGTGGACTGCTCCTATGCTTCAAAAGCACATGGACCACCGACATGTTGCTTCCCACTGGGAAAAAAGGAAGTCACTTACCTTCATTTACAAGTTGTTTTTTTTCCCGTTGTTGCTGTTTTTCTCTCTCCTAATTCTGCCGTACCTACTCCAGTTTCTTTGTTGTCGCTTTCTCTGCACTGGGAGGATTGACACGGGGCCCTCCCGCCCATCCAGAATTTGATGTTCAAGTGACTCGGAATCATCACGGGCCTTTTAGGCCTCGGGACATCTATACATTGGGGTATCGGGAGCTCTGGGATACCCGACTACGCCCATCACACAATCTCACTTTTTTCACTCTCATCACCCTTCCATGTACCTGCTACAATATGGGACCCGCCTTGAAAATTGTGACATGGAATGTCAAAGGTCCCCGATCTCCACAAAAAAGGATCCAATTCCTCCGATATGTCAAAAAACTTAAAACAGACATAGCTATCTTACAGAAAACTCACCTCCACTCCGATGACTTCTTCCATATGAAACGCCTCTGGGTTGGCACGTTGGTCAGGGCCCCTGCTAAAGGACGCTTTGCTGGAGTTCTCACCTTAATTAATAAATATTTACCCCACTCTCTCATACATCACCTATCCGACCAAAGTGCTGGTAGACGGTCTCATCTCACGTTACAAATAGGATCCAACAACCTGGACATCTGGAATGTGTATGGTCCCAACTCCGACAACCAATCCTTTCTGGATCACTTGCTTGCTTCCATATCCTCACAAACCCTCCCCAACTAGTACTCTAATAGGTGGGGATTTCACCTCTCCCAATGTGATAACCAAAGTTCAATCCGTGGAAAATTATGCTCATATTGGACCATGCCCCAGTATCTCTATCTCTTCGCAATTTAGACCTACCCACTGTGCCTCTCACTTGGCGATTCCTGGCCTATCTCATGTCTGATGATGCCTTCCAATCGGAACTCAGGAATTGGTGGTCGGAGTTTGAGGACAACAACTCATATAGGGGAACCCGCGAAAGCTGTTCTACGCATTAGAATCCTGGCCTATGTGTCTACACAGAAAAAAAAAACTAGACAGAAATACACTGATGCTTGTATGCTAGCCAGGGAGGACTATAACTCTTACAAACAATCTCCAACCACTGAGAATAGACATCGCTGGCTACAATCCAAGCAACAGTGTGACAATTTGCTCTGACTAAAGTTCAAATGGGTATTACTGGATCGTTTTTACACTTTGTCTCCACTATCTACTCCTACCCGAAAGCACAAATCTACACTTCCACCCATCTGTCCCCTCCTTTTCCTCTCCACAGAAGTACACATCAGATGCTCTTTGCTGATGATATACTGTTAAACCTCTCGGACCCCGAAACCCAGGTTCCGAGACACATTAACCTCTTCGGCTCCTTTTCTGGTCTCAAAGTCAATTTGGTAAAGAGTGAGCTGTTATTCCTATCTAAAACAGCTAGTGTCCTGGACATCCACATATCATCTCCAAGTAAAGCACTGATCTCTCACTTATTTAGGGATTCAAATTCCCTGCTCTGTGACGGAGTTATATGAGCTTAACTACTTCCCTATTATTAAAACAATTACGGAAAAATTGTCATCTTGACAGAATCCCTCTTCTCCGTTTTGGGCAGATGCCACCTGCTCCGAATGATCAGCTTTGCCAGCCTCTTTCCCTTGCAGACCATACCACTACTCCTTAAACATAAGGATAACCAACTCTTAAATAGATATATTTATTTGGCAAGGGAAGAAACCCAGAAACTCCATAAAAAACTCCACCAACCTAAATCACATTTGGGAACTAATTTTCCCCTTATTAGACTCTACAACCTGGCTAGTATTTTTCAATATATCCGATACTGGTTGCACAACACATCTTTCTTCTCTAATACGTCCTTAGAAACCCATCTAGTTCACCCATGGTCTCTATCTGGGGCTCTCCATACCACCCCGCCCCCCCCTATTAAAAATAATGTTGTCCTGAGAGATACAGTGATTACATGGAGGGAGCTGAGGAAAATTCTGCGTTTGCCAGGAACGATTTCTTCATGGATGCCTATTGTCTCCTCCCCCGAGTCGAAAGTCTTTCAGACCTGGTATAAAAATGGTATCCATTTTATCCAACTCCTCCTCAATACCCAAGGTTCTTGTAAGACTGTGGCTGAACTATCCAAGTAATTCAGGGACAAATGGAAGCAGACGGGAGTTCAGAGCCAGTGACGCAAGCGGAAGCAGAATCGTGGAAGTCGGAAGTGTGAGGGAGAAGCACGCGCGAGCCGAGGCACGCCGATCCGGGACCTGTGGGCCAAGGCAACTGGGAGCCGAGACCACCAAAGAGCCGCGAGCCGGGACCACCAGCGAGCCCGCACCACTGGGAGCCGCAAGCCAGGACCACCGGGAGCCGCAAGCAGGGACGCCGTTGAGGACGAGCGTGTGGGACCGAAGGGACTGAGGCTGCGGCGAGAGAGAACGGAGTCCGGACAGCCAGAGCTAACAGGAGTGAGCAAGCGAGAGCAAGAGGATCGTGTGGACAGGACCTGACCTGGTCAGAGGAGAGAACTGGAGGAAAGGAGCGGAGGGACTGCCAGATCAGGTCGTATGAAAGAGGGGGGGGGGGGTTTCCTGTAGTCTGTAAGTG